CGCATCCGGCTAAGGAGACCGCGACAGCAGTGTGGCCATAAGAATAAGCCCGCGGGGGTTTTGTGACCATCACTTTCCTTCTTTTCACAGACACAGAAGCTCGATAAAGCTTTACTTGCTTAGAGTCGAGTGAGTCGAGAGCTGAATAGCGGCAGACGAATGTTTGAATGCACAAGAGCGCTAGTGCTTCCTACACTTAACACGCTCTTAGGATGTTGAGCTTAACTACTTCGACACTGATCAAGAATGGCGGACGGTAGCAAAGCGCTGGCGGCGCCTCGATTCGGCAGCAGCCAGATGACGACGAGGGCAGCTTCGATTTCTACTTGGCGATGATGCAATCCTACCTGGTACAGCGAAAGTGCTGGGGCGTTCCGGACGGCACGGTTGTGCTAGATCCCAACGCGACGGATGCAGAGAGACAGATCTTTTTAGAGAAGAGCAATCGCACGAAATGCGTTACTTTCGCGGTGTGCTTATCAAGGATGCAACGAAAATTTGCATGCTAACGAGGACACGTGAGATGTGGATGGCCTTCGAACAGGAGAAGACCAAGCGTGCATTCTCGAATGCGCTGTACTTGTGCAAATTATTGTATGAGTACAGTTTCACACAGGGTATGGACATGGAGAAGTACTTCGATAAAACGGAGGCCATGCGGCACCAGCTGCGCAACAAGAACGACGAAGTCTCGGACAATGACATAGTAAAACTGATTCCTTAAGGAGTTGCTTTCGAGTACCGTGAAGGCGTGAGAATGTTCGACCAAGATGTGTGCGACGGTAGCATGTCGATGCTGTCTGAGGTGCTGAGTACCCTGCGCACTGAGGCTGATGTGGATAAGCAGCGGGGTGGCATGACCAATAAAACTGCTAAGTTGTCTGATGGTGCCAAGATCTCACAGGTGAATGAGCAGCAGCAACTCCTTAGTGACAAAGGAAAACGTCGGTGATAGCAGCACAACAGCAAAAAAGGAAACTATTCCAGAGAAAGAACGGGCAGATGAGGAAACCCGAACCTGCCTTCAACCCGGTCATCTGAAGTGAAACTGCAGAAAATATGTGGAGGTGAAGCGGCAGAAACAGACACAGTAGTCGAACAACAACACACGGAAGTCGGAAGGGAAGAAGAAAACGTCCTCGTCAATGTCGCTAGCTCGCTGGAGTGATGCTGGTGGCAGTTAACCATCTTCTATTGACATTGTTGGTTTAAATGGTTTAAAGCCCCACCTACAAACCCTTTACGCCTAATCATTCCGAATAATGTTCGCTCCCTGCGGCTGCTGGCACGGGTATTAGCCGGAACTTCTTTTAAGTACTGTCATTTTCCTCCTTATGAAAGAGCTTTACAACCTTATTAGCCTTCATCACTCACTCGGTATTGCTGGATCAAGCTTCCGCTCATTGTCCAAAATTCCCCACTCTTGGTGATGATGGGCAAAATGCGATTGCGACAACTATTCGGGACTGTGAATCGGCCTATGACGAGTGGATGATTGACACAGGTGCTGGAGTGCATGTCTGTACTGACTGGACAGATTTCTCTAGTTTGAAGGAGGACTCGCTAACGTTCATTGGTTGGACAGACTACATCAGCAAAAGCGATGCTTATGTGCAGGAGAGCATTTGCGGAACAATAGTACTGTCCGAAAATCATGTGACCAAGGAGCTCGAGGATGCTAGTGGTGGTGTCACTAATCTACCGAGTCTGGAACGGGTCCTCTCCTACTTGAATGTGGTTGATCTAGCACTACGAGTTATGTACCTGAGTTGGAGTGGTGTGCAGCTCGCGTTGGTCAAACGCGATGATCACCATTGGCTCCGGACAGAGCACAGAGTGTAGGATAGCACAGATATGTGCAAGATGACGAGAATGCAGCGACAATATTAGCTCATGCACTGGCACATGAAGGTCACTTACATGCGCAAGCATTGAAGCAGCTGGTGCTGAGGGACTTGGCAGAAGGCATGACGTCGCTAAAGCTAAAGGGTTTTGACAAGCCTTAACTGCATCGCGCGTACCACAGCAAAGGAAAGACGCAGGTCGTACAAGCGGCACAACAAGCGGGGCAATGTGTGCTTTGAGCGTTTTGTGTATGATGTTTGCTATGTTGGTGTGGAGACAGCCGGTGGAAACAGGTACCTCCAACCTGTCCAGGATGAAACCTTTTGATACAAGTGGTGCTATCTTCTCCGTCACATGAGTGAGGCGGCGCAAAATGTGATGAATCTAGTTCTGGAACTAAAACAAAAAAACACAACATGAAGCGATTCTCGTGCGACGAAGGCAAGGAGTTTGTCAACAAACGCTTGAAGACTTTTCTGGCCGATCATGGAGTGAAGCTGCTGATGACTAGTGCCTATACGCCGGAGGAAAACAGTCTGGTGGAGAACCCAACGGCAACTCGCTCAATAAGATCCGTGCTATCCGCGAAAGCACTGAGCTTCTGTCGTCATTGTGGGGGAAATGCTGATGAATATCGTGGGGGTAGACAATATGAGCCTGACGAAGGCGTTGACTGGTGTAACACCCGATGAGAATCTTACACGAATCAAGCCTGGTGTGGTAAATCTTCGTGTGTGCGGCTGTGCTGCGTTAGAGCACGTTCCCATGAAGCTCAGGCACCGTAAAATGAGTGTTAAAGTCACCCCGACTTTTCGTTTTGGCTATGCGAGTAAATCTCGAGGATACAGATTGCTGGGCATACAGACAGGAGATCATATCATGCGACGAGATGTGTCATTTCGGGAAGACATCACAGTGGCGAGCGCTTATGTGACAAAAGTATTGGCTCAACGTTACCGAGGCCGTGCTGAGCTCCCAGATAGTGATTCCTACATTCATCTACCTGTCAATGCAGTACATGACTCTGTACATATTCCTGAGCGACTTTCGGATGATGATGACACTGGAAGTGCAGGCGTTGAATCGAACAAAGCTGTTATTGCTGCTTCAAGTCGGAAACGCCGTGTACTATCTCTTTCTCAAAACTCGACAGACCAAGTCATAAGCATGGTGAAACCACTCGCGTACTAAATAAAAGAGAAAATATGGCAGAAGCTTTAAGCAGAGCGTACGAGGGGTAGACGCTCGCTGCTATTGCACGGTCATCACCTATCCACTCTGAAGCCTAAAGAGCTAAAAAAACAAAATTTGTACCAATCGTCAAGAGCTGTCGCAGACCAGCCTTAACATTATCCCCCTGATACTTCGTATTTAAGCCTAAAGAACTAAGTGCGTGCTTAGTGCAGGAAGTACTAGCACTCTTGAGCACTTAGAGTCGAGCGAGTCGGGGGTTGAATAGCGGGAGACGAGTGTTTGAGTGTAAGCAAGTAATTTGCAAAGTGATTCATGTTATGCTTCATCAAGCTTCTGCGTCTGTGAAAAGGAGGAAAGCGATGGCCACAAAACCCCGTGTGTTTACTCTACTGGCCACACTGCATGTTTCTGGAAGTGAATCCAGTTTGTATAGCCATTCAAACTAGATGTTGTGGATTCCTTCAGCATTCCACAGAGTGCATGTGGGCGACCAACAGTAGATGTTTAACCAACAAGTGACAATTAGGAGAAGTATTTTCAGCGGAGCTCCCACTATCATTGGCATTATCCGCTATTGCAAGACTCACATTAAAATCACATTCAAGTTTTGGATTGCGTATGGAAGCGTCAATGTCGGAGCTAAATTGAAAAACAATGTGAGACTTAGCCAAGGAGTCCGACCAAGCTGTCGAAGATGCTGAGAGACAAGGGTCCCAGTACGGGAGAAGGACTTAGATCCTTCACTGGTTGTGAGAACCGGAGAAAGAGAGTGCTAAGGCAGCTAACTTATTGACTTTTACTTTTTCTTCTGCCTCGGATTGAGTGCAATATCCATTATCAAGTTCCTGTGCACTAAAGTAGTTTTGTAAATCCAATCAAAGGTATGTGGATGATGCTTAATAATTGGGTGTTTACACACCTCATGCACTATTGTCAGCTCCGTCCAAAATTGCCGATGCGGCAGCAATCCACAACTCATCGACACGACGCTATGAATGGCTCAAACTGCAATCTTAGGTCATCCTATTAGCTACAATAACCCCAAAAGATATGCATGTCAAAGTGCCAGAGTAATGGTGGCCAATGAAACCAGAGGTGCATTCTGTAAGACAGTTTTACGTGAGTGGGTGCGCGTTTGACAAATTTCGAATTAGCCGATTCCGTGCACACATTGTCTTCACTTGAAGTTTAAATCTAGATCAACACTGTTATAATTCTTGCTAGATCAATAGAAACACTATTAATAATACGTGTCTTGTGTATACGGAAATGTAAAGTAGAAGTATTATTGGGCTTCCGTTTTATGACTTAGATCGGCATATAAATAATGCATTAAAATGAGATAGGAACAGGTATTTCTATGCGCTCGAATTGCGTTTTCAAGCGCGCAAAAATGGTAGATTTACATGGTGTGATTTGCCTGGAATCCAACTTGGGCGCTCGATTTAGCTCGATTTATTGGTCTTCCGATTTGCCGTTTTTTATGGACCTCGATATATAAAACGACATTATTTATTAAAAATCGAAGATATAAAGCAAATACGTTGCAGGGGTGAATTTACGAGATGATTTACGGTAAAGTAAATAAAGATTTCTAGCCAGCCCTTCTTTCTTACAAGAAAGATTTTGATGTGACATAGCACCACATTCTTGAGCACTCAGGCAGTTCGGCGTGAAGCAAACTTAAAACAGGCCCCTGCCCGTTCTCCATTTTCCGATAGATTGAATTAATACCTCGGCGGCGGTCATTTATTAGCTGAGCTGATTTTTGACCAATTGTATCGCCATGAACTCATGCTTATCAACCATGCGACTCTTCACGATAGGATCCAAGATCTTGTTGTCAGCAACAACTCTCCTCCACAGGATAACTACTAGACTAGTATGTGTGCCCAGCATAGACTCGCGTCATTTCAGGATCTTTTCGTTTGCAGTCAAGTCGGTGGAAACGTAGTCAAGAGATGGGACGTTTCAACTTCAAGTCTTCATTTACGTCATGGTTGGTGATTGCTTTTGCGATTTCCGCTGCCAGTGGGCAACAAGTGGGCACCAACTGTTCGGATGCTCGTATTCGTCGATCCTGGGATACGTACAGTACGACGGAGAAGGCTCTGTATCTGGAAGCGGTAGGCGTTGCCATGGACTTGGGATTCCACCAAAAATTCGTCCAAGTGCACGTCGAGTTCATGTCGGAGAAACAGGCGCATCAAAACTGCATGTTCATCTACTGGCACCGCATGCTGCTATTGGGCTACGAGAATATGCTGCGAAGCTTGGATGCCAAGTACCGTTGCTTGACACTCCCGTACTGGGACCATCTCTCGGCGTACGCTCGACAAGCTGCTGGCCAATGCAACTATCTACTGGGCTGTACACCTTTTCTCACGGACTCTGGTGGTGCCATGACGGGCGTCAGCGCGCGGTTGATCATATACAACGTGTCCATTGCGGCTTCGTACTCTACATGCGTCAATCAAGGCATCCTGTCTCACTTCTGCGGCAACAACTCGGCCTGCGCTCAGTGTGTCACTCGCGGATCTAAGAACTATCTGGCAAGTACTCGTTACCCTGGAGAGGCTTCACTAGGTTCAATGGTTCAGCAGGTCTTCACTTACAGCGATTCAGCCAGGTTCACGCAGGCAGTCGAAGGGGGCGTTCACAGTAAGTTTTGGTGCAAATTCTGTAGCGTATTCAATGCCTTACCAGTGTGGCTGTTCTCGTAATGTGATTAGACACCATCCACAGCGTTCTTAATGGCGTTATGGCGTGGTTTCAGTCTCCGGCAGATCCGGTTTTCTACCTCCACCACTCGTTGATCGACTTGCTGCAAGTAATTTATCTCAAGTGCCAAGTGGGCGGTACAAACGTGGTGCTCTCAGCAGCAGACAAAGGTAGCGACCCTCGGTGGTTTAGCACATGTGCAAAAAGAACTACTGGCAACTATACGAGCGATGACACCATCACGATGCGCGCCAATGCAACGGATGGGAAAACCCTTGTCAATGTGTGGGAGGACCCCAACAACATCCTTTACCCATTTTTCAAGGATTTACCCAGCAAGTATGCGGATTATGTCGATGCTAAAGACCTGGGGAACTACAGCTACAGCTACGCGATCAGTGGAGGACTGGCCAACATGTATCAAAACTGCAAAAATGCTACCAATATGGCTGCGGTTAACGGTACTATTACGACTTTACTAGCGAGTCGGAGCAAAACACGCGACCGTCCTTCTCCAATAATCGAGCCGGGAACGAGTAACGACGAGAAAGTGAAGCGTTGGAATGTTGCGCTGTACGAATCTGCTCGCATTGTTGGATATGAAGAGATGGCGGCCAGAGAGCAGATGGAAATGGTGCTGTGTCAATACCAAGCCGACTGTCTGGGCGGCGTTGAAGACTACTCGGACATCTTTCGAGCCAACTTTCATGTCGATGGGCATACGCGATGTTACAACATCGTGGCGGGTTTAAAGACGGGAGATCTAGTAATTGGTATCCCCAAGTGGAAAGACATCACGAGCCACTTTGTGCCGTGCGCCGCGTACACGAAGAAGAAGCCTCTCTTGTCCGATTTTGCTAAGGCTGCCACAGCATTTGCCACAGCTTCCGCTTAAGACTCTACTACTGCATGAAGTTGCTGTAGCAAATTTGCAAAGTCTTCATGCTGATAACGAAGAAATGCTTAGGTAACTACTGTAGGCCACCTCTTACGTTAGCAACCTCTCATGCGCTATTGCGACGCCATGATGCGGTTGTGATAAAAACTATAACCTTCAATTTGATTTTTGTTAATGTTTTGCGATTGGAGCCTACTTATCTGCAGTCAAGATGTACAGAGGTCGGAAATCTCATTGATAGAACTCCATGTTAGCACGCAAATCCATTGATCACGATGAGTTCAGCAATTGAAGTTAGCTATGGACCTGTTCCGCAATTCATTGCGTTACTAAGCTAACTCATTTTTGAATAATTAGCTTCTCATTTCGCATATCTTTTTGTATTTCTCCATTTCCCGCCACCTAAACTTGCAGCCTGTCCGTCCGTCTGTCAATAAGTCCGTCCGGTTCCTTTCTTGCTGCTTTTTCCTGCCTTTTCGCATGGCTACACCCGGCCTGTCTAATATATTTTCGTCCCATCTTACCGACCGCGCCTACTTTTCTGACTCGACTTAACTATGCCAAAATTACAAATATATCCAAAAGCGTGACACAATTAACTCGCGCCCTGATTGGACAATACCTGCCGACCTGCGACACTGACTGGATCTGTCGCACGATCAGACCGCCTCTCTCCCTCGCGATTGGACGTAAGGTAAACATTTCTGCCGAGCACGAAACGCATCGATTGGTTGCAAACAGCCAGCAGATACTTGATTATTGGGTTCAGCTACGCAAAACCTGTCGTATGTACTGCAAATCGGGCACAGTAACCACTTTATTTTCTAAGAGCTCTGCACACTTCTCAAATTGAGATATTTATTATTACTAATGTAGACTTCACAGATCAGTATTTTGTAAGAGCTGTGGGATGTTATTTTCCACACACTTTTCAAAATAAAGACGATATTAATAGTATTAATATTACTAATATAAGCTTCACAAGCCGCAATTGTAAGAGCTCGGCGATGCTATTTTCCACAGACTTTCTAAAGTAGAGACGATAGTATTTTTAATATTAAAGCAGGCTTCACGACCAGCGCTTTTTGTAGGGACTTTGCGAATATATATCTTTTTTACCTCACCTGGCACTCACCACTGCCACCTTGCAATGAAGGCGCGCGGCTGCACGGTCATTGCACTATCTGCTCCCGTGCACCGCACCCGACGAATGCATGCGCGCACGATAGATAGTTGTTTTAGTCAATTTTATTGCATGTAAAGTATGTATTTGTTTGGGAATCTGATATTAATATATTATAGCAAAGCCAAAACGTTAGTATCAACTGTCTAATATGTTTCTAAATAATAAATACCAGCCTTATATTTCCAAGCTATTGGCTAATATTTAGATGCAAGTAATTGGTTAAAACAAATATTTTGCTAACATACGCACAGTTTGGCAAAATGGTGGGTCTTACGTGCAAGCAATGCGAGGCGAAGATTG